TCACTTGTTTATGCTCTGGGTTTTAATAACTTCAATATTTGCACAGCTGAAAGAAAGGAAAGCACACTGAAAATAGATACCATGAAGATCTCCAGGAGTCGGCAAACCAGAAAAGCATGAATTGAAAAAGAGCTGCATAGGTTATAAATAAAAAGCATCTCAACCAAGACAAACCTAGTCCTGGGATTTGGGGATTCCAGAGGAAACCTCTAAGGAACATGTTGCTATAATTATTCTGAGCACTCTCAATTCTCTTTATCTATAGAGATGCTCAGAACAGATTAGAGAAACAGAGATTTGTCCGTGATATTCTAAAAAGGCAAAGCCTTTGATTTGGATTGGACAAAACCAATTCGTAATTCCATTTCTGTAACTTACAAGCATGACATCGTGGTGATTGTCTCAATTCCTCCAGACCTCAGGTCCATGTCTTTGAAACAATTCAGATATCGCAAACACAACCTCAGTAGTGCCTGTCATTGTGACTCCCTTCATTTCCACAGCTCTTGGGCCTTTTCTGTAGTGAGAACTGTTTCAAACGCACCTCCCCTCCCTCGCTGATTTGTAGGGTAGGCACCATGGCACTGCTTCTTAGTACTTTATGGCCTCTTTATGGGAAGAACTCGGTTGCTCCGCCTTTTTCAGACCAGGAAAATGAAAACCGTGGAAGGTTCAGCAGATCAGTGAAGCATCAAGAAAAGAGTAGGGCATTTGTCACGAGCCAAAATATGTGTTTCATGAACAGCCTGCCTACGGAGGCGAGTTGTTCACTCAGCTGTGCAGTTTATTCCAAGGTCCAAGACCTATTTGTTTAACTTTGTCCTCAATAAACTGGTCATTGGATTCTCCCCGTTCTTTCCCCGGCTACTTTTTAAGGCTTGATTTGCTGTTCGTCCCTTACAGGTAGCTGGACAACTTGCCGTCTGAGTCATCCCTCAGTGGGGCTGCAGCCACTGCCCTGTTTGGGTTCTCTGTGTGTGTTAACCGTAACGTGATGTTTGCTCATCTACCAGTCAGCGCCCACATCCTGCGCCCTTCAGATCCTGCCCGAATCTGTCATGTCCCACAGCCCAGCTAATACAGGCTGGAATCAGGACGAGGAGAAACACAGAATTTCAAAACAAGCTCTCAGTTAAGGACAATCTCAGCGGACCTTGTTTATTTGGCCGATGCGCTCATGTTCACCCACCTCCCGCCCCCGCGAGGTGAATAAGGTTGCCTTTCATGAGTCTCAAGACGTGGATTTTTGTTGGGTAGTAATGTTGTGAGAAGAGTTACCACGTTTAGTCTTTTCTGCTCTTTCAACAAATGGTAAAGTTGGAAATGTGGCTGTGGCCAGCCCAACGATGGAAACAGTTTGAACAGCGTGGGTGTTGAAGCCATGTAACATACCCAACACAGGGCCTCCACTCACTGTCTTCCCAAGACAGCGTCTAGCCACCAGAATACCATCATTGTGCTCATCAAGTAAAACAGTCTCCTCTTTTGCCTTTAGCATCCACCGGAAAATACTTCAGAGTTTAGAACCTGAGGGGAAAAGAAAACGCTGCTCTGTTTGAACAGACTCTGGGAGACTCTCCAAGGAAGACAGTACTTAGTGGGACAAAATGGTGTCTTGAATGTGAGGCTACCCTTTTTCAGTTGTCAGTGTGTTGGGGTAGGGCAAGGGCAGGGCAAGTTCTGGAACATGGGCACGGATGGTTGTGGGTTATGGATCAAAGAGTAATCACAATGTGATGGGTTGGGGGTGGGGCACAATTTGGTCTAGTACCAGATATCCCTATAGATAAAATAGAAGCGTATTAGCTGTGACTGTTTGGAAATTAAGAGCCTTTCAGGATGGATTTTCTGATAACACTACTTCTTAGCACTAAAATGCTACGAGAAGCTCTCTATGAGCACAGACATGCATGCACAGCATAAACTGCCTTAAACCTACAGTGCCACAGATTTTCTTTTTGCTGTCTTCCTGAGCAAAAGTAACTCAGAAACCAAAATGCCAGTGAAACCACCACTGAGAAAACAAAATAGTCTGAAGTTTGTTTGAAAACTAAACAGAAACATTTAAGCTATTAAATAACCTAAAATGTTTCTTAGCTTTTTCAAAAATATCAATCTGAACCTTAAAACTGTATCTAACATAAAACTGTTGCAGAAAAATCATAACAAAGTTGATACTGTTTATCATTAAGGGCCTATAAATATTATGGTGGTATTATCTAACCCACTTGCAAGTCAATCGAGGACACAGGTGGCAGTTGTACTTTAGAATAAGGCGTATTTTCCCTGGGGCTGGGAAGATATTCCCACCTAAACTGTCTCATTGTCTCCCAGCCCCCATCCCATGCCATCTACTTTAGTCATTTCTATCTGGGCTACTTCTCATCCATAATCCCAAAATATTTGCTTGTGCTTTCTATCCGGGCCACTTCTCTCCACATGGAAGCTCAGAGTTCCTCCTCCCAGCCCACATGGCTCTTTACCTATCCCATATGACGCTACTCCTTTTTTCTCCTTTGGTACCTGTGTCCTCCCAGGACCCTCTGTCCTCCAAGCCCTTGAACCTTAGCTCTGCTCCTCATTTCTGCCCTGCCCAGGTATAAGCCTTTTATTCAACCAATCAGGGAGGCAGGGTTACACAGCAATACTTGGGGTGCTTGAGTATCTGCTGCAGGAAGACCTCAGTGAGCAACATAGTTAATCAAATACAAAGCCCCAGACCATGCTGTTACAACTCCTCTTTCTTGTCTAACTAAAGAACAATTATGAAGCAAATATGAAAACCATCATGTAACAACTACATTTACAAAGCACCAGACCATGCTTTTACATAAAACAGAAAAGATGAATGAATAGGTAAACTGGGACCACCTTAATCAAGCGGTATTTTTACTAAATAATGCAATTGGTTATTCTAAGTCCTTTCATATTATAGTAACAACAATAGCGAAACAGACATTTATCAAGCTTTCACTAAGTTTAAGGACTTTCTAAAGTTTTTACACAAATTGTTCATGACTACATATAACATACTGTATTCATTTCACAGATAGGAAAGCTAGTTTAAAATTCCTGGCAGCTAATACTAAAGCCAGGAATAAAGGAAAATAAAAGTATTTTGTTTGGGTTTTGATTTTCATTGTTTGGAACAGTGCCCAGGCTGACCGGTAGACATCTTTGTAGCTGACGGCTTGAACTCGTCATCCCCAACTTCATGAATGTTGAGGTTGTGAGTGTGTGGCCCCCTTCACCCAGCTACTTGAAGGGCCTGGACAGGGAATTCAAATCTGTTGTCTTTAACTCAATGGTCTCCTTTTTGAGCTGAGTTGATTGCTTCTGGGCAAATGTTTGCTTAGCAGCAACTCTGAGAGAGAAACTTCAATCTGCAGTGTTAAAATTTAATACTATGGCCAGACTCACAGTCTATCCCAATTTCCTTTGGTGTCCTAGCTCATCTCAGCTGGACACACACACTTTTAATTTAATTGATTTATTTGTGGTGCTGGGGATCAAATCCAGAACCTTACACAGGCAGGGTCAAGGGCACGGTATGCCAGCCATGCCCCTGTTAAAAGCTGCAAGAATTCTCACCTTTGGTTATGGGCTGGCTCTGTTGACAAACTCATCACAGCCTTTGTTCTTGAGGTTACATAGATATTGGCCATAATGTTCATTTTTTTTTGAAAGATTTAGTTTATTCTTGTTTCTCCCCCTCTCTCCTCCCTCTCAACCTACTCTATGTGAGTAAAGTGTGTGTTTGGGCTCACACACACACACACACACACACACACACACACACACGCACACATGTGCGCGTGTATGCATGACCATGCAGACACAGAGGCCAGAACATAGTGTCTGATGCCCTGAAGCTGGAGTTACAGGCAGTTGTGAACAACCATGTGGGTGACTGGGACTTGAACCCAGGTTCTCTGCAAGACAACAAGTGTTCTTGACCACTGAGCCATATCGCCCCTACGGTTCATTTTTATTATGAAAGATCCATCATTTTGCTCTAATTAATATATCTCTTGTCGCATCCATTAACGTATGGAATAAGAACTACATCTTTAAAAAGTTTTAAAACCCATTTTGGCTATGGTTACTTTCCAAAAAGAAGTGTTCAATAAAAATATTCTTCATGCCCAAATGAATGAATATTTCATTCAACTATCTCAGAAGCCAGAAACACAATAGAGAGAATCTAATCTCTCCCTGTCCCTCCCTTTCGCCAGGAAGATATGAGTAGCTAAAGTATTTGGTGCTATATATAGTAAGTTGATGTCAGCTGGATGCCAGTCTCTTCAGAAAGGCTCAGTCCCCTGTGTGACAGAGCTAGGGACCATGCCATTCCAGGTTCAAGGATAAAACCCATCAGGCCCAAGTGCCATCATACTCCACCTTCAGCGTTTTCCTCCACAATTGGGATTCACCCCTGCTGAAAAGTGCAGCCTAACAGCAAGGTGAGTATATTGTTTCCTAAAATGTTTTATTAGTCAGTTGTCCCCAGAGGTTCAGAGCTGTGTGACTCATAAATTACCATCCTTTGCTGGAGAGGGTGGCTCTTGATGCCGACTGAAAATGTTGCCACCAAAGAGGCTGAATCCAGCCTCTCCCCCACTCTTCCAGTTTGCTGGAAGTGATGTCCTCTGATGCTGGTGGGATGACGGCCAGGAGAGAAGCCCTGACAGAGGAAAAGCAAACTGTAGGAAAGAGAGGGAAGAGCGAGGAGGCAGGCTCTTTCATTGTTCCTCAGTGCAAGGTGGTCAGTGTACTGGAAGGTTGAGTTTGAGATGACATCGTCCTCTCTTCCCTGGGACATGTGCTGCTGATGGGAAACTCGAACTGTAGACGTACGAGCAGTATATGCTGGGCTTTCAGTAAAAAGTAAGAGCAGATTCTTAATAAAGGAGATGCCCCCTCTCGGGAAGGATGATCATAATGAATTCTTCACACAGCCTCAATAACATCCCTTTGTTTTCAACAGGGAACAAAAAGCCATGCTATCACACAGTGCCATGGTGAAGCAAAGGAAACAGCAAGCATCAGCCATCACAAAGGAAATCCATGGAAATGGTATCACTAAAACCGCTCCATAGTCTTAATGTACCGTGACATGAACATAGGTCCTTTCTGACGTTAGTGTTAATATTCTATAGCTCACTTCCCTAAATACTTCCTGTCCCCCGTAACAAACGTGAAGCTCTTAGTGGGTACTTCAGAAAACCCTATGGTAATGAATCCTTTTGTAGTCACCCTTTCTCATTTGAGAGCTATTTTCAGACGAACAACTGCTGAAAAAGGAATGAAGCAAGCAGACAGCTGATGTGCATTCTCTGTGCTTGCCTCTCACATGATCAGTGAACATGATGCTTCTTACTGTATTTGCTTATAGATAACTTTCACGCAACCCTACCTTTTTTGTTCTATCTTGATTTCTTTTACTTTGTGTTACTTTAAAAAAATTCAGAATATGTTCTACCAGTCTTTTAAATTTTCAAAAAAAAAAACAGATTGCGAAGGAATTCATATTCATTTTTTAACTCTGACACCAGTATTCATATTTAATAATTGATTTACTAATATGGATTGCATGCAAAACATTTTATTTAGACTTTCTGAAAAAAAAATAAGGTTCTTTTAATGTCAAAACAAGTTAATTTTTAAATATATGACAGATGTAAGATATTTCAATAATAAATATTTTATTTATTGCTTTTATTGTTTTAAAATCTTAGTAAATAACTCTGAAGGAAATTATATTTTACTTGTTAAAAAGGAAATTCATTTTGTTCATAAATAAAGATTAGCATATTGGTAAAATTTGAATTTTTATACCCAGGTCCTTTTTAGGGTTTGATCTAAACCGTTCCAGACTTATTTGTGGAATTTGCAGGGTGTCCCCTTATTTTTTGTTCGGCTAGTAGCAAATGGAGCTTTGCACCATGAAAATATTCACATCTAGAGGCATGAAACTTTGTGAGACATCTGGAAACTAGGATGAGGATAGTATTTCACATCATCTTTTCCATAAAGCAAGCTGAACTACCAATCAAAGTGTCTTACATACCGGCCACATACCACAGTCATGTTGAAAGGGTACAGCCCAGCTGTGATCTCCTCGCTGTCAAATCATTGTGCTGGCTTCTGCTTGCTTCTCAGGCTTTCTCTTCATGCCAAATTTATTTAGAATAAAATGAGATTAATTCTGGCCTAGCTACCAGACTATATCAATCCAAAGCTTCAAACCCCATTTTTTTTTTTAAAGTTTGCATGCATCTTTGTGTGTCCTACTTTGGGTAATTTACTTGAAATTGTTGGTGTAGCTTTCCCAGTCAGTGTGGCAAAAATCAGGTAATAATTTAAGTTTGAGACTAAACTGTTTGTGATAAAACTAGGCCTTGGATAAGTCACTTCCCAATTACATCATCATAATTCTCTTAGGCCATACCACCCTGAACACAAATGATGATCACATATAAACATAATCATAAGTAAGTAAATTCATTTAATATAATCTCACTCTACATCAAGTGTTAGAGTCTACTCTCCATTTTCCCTGCCTATATCTTTGAGAGTAAATTTATCTCCTTAATTTTTATAAACATAACCATTGAGAGCTTTATTTTTACAAAAATATAAGGAAAACATCAATGGGGAATACTGCAACCTCCCCACCAGGATGTCTTGGTGGCTTTTTCTCCAGCCCAGGTAGGAGGAGCCCAGACTCTGGCTTTGTGATGCTGGACATTCTAGATACTCTGGATAATCAGACTCATCCAAGATAAAACAGCTATGCTACGAAGCAAGACAGATATTTAATTTCTTTCTCTCATTTCTGCTTGAGTCTAATATGGAACTTAACTTTTTGTGAGCTGCAAGGAACAGAAAACTCTGCAGCTGGGAAATGTTACCATTTCTAAGGATATAGGAATGAAATATGGACTTCAGAAAAACATTAGTGGTGGGAATGAGCCTTTATATTTTAAAACATTTTGCAGCTGGAGAGCACCTGGATAGCTTATGATGACATACGATAAAGTTCTGATCTTAGTTTTAAGACTAAGTAGTCTCCTTGCACGTAAGAACGATGTTAAGTATTGTAACTCGTGCATTATTACTATCACACTCCAAAGCATCTAACCTGGAGGGAATACTGAATGAGCCTGTTACAGCCAGGAGCCTTTCCTGAGGTGGACCTTCACTGCAGGAATGTAAGGCTGAGAGCACAGCTGGGGAGCCTTTGAGATAAGGATGGAAATACAAGAGGGAAAGTTTCACATCAGATCACTCTTATTATCAGAAGGGCAAACTTGCCTGAAATAACTCGTGAAAAATTCTATTCATACAAACTGCGGTGTCAACTGGACAGAATGAGTTTTTAAAATCCTGTTTCCATTTACTACAACCTGTGTTCTTGCTTGTTATGAACCTATTGTAATTTGGTGTCACATTATACACCAGAAATGAATAGTACACATACATGCACACACACACACAGAGAGAGAGAAAGAGAGAGAGAAAGAGAGAGAGAGAGAGTTAATAAATAAATATTAAAGAAAAAAAAGTATTTCCTGTTACCCAGGCTGACTACCCAGATTGACCTCATCACCATAAAGCATCATCATAGTGGTATAGAGGAACGACTGGGGAAATAATCTTATGTTATTATTAACATTAATGTCTGTGCCTCCTGCAACAGCATGTCAGGCATGGTTGCAAGCATTTAAAAAGTGCTATGGTGCAAGACGGAAGAAATATTTTGCCATCATCTATACATGAATAGTCCATAATAGTCCTGCCCCGCCCCCCACACGGCCTGTGCAATTCACCTTGAATCGGTACATGTTTCCAGCCTGAACTGTGATCCTTGCTCACTCAGTAACTCACTTCAAACTTGAAGACTTAAGCAAAGAGGGCTGGGAATAGGTAGGTGACAAAGGAAGAGCTGGAGCTACCAGAATGGATTAGGCATTAAGAAGCGCTTTACAGTATGGTTGGAAAAGGAATTGGGAGTTAAAACAACCACAGGATGAACTGAGAATGTGCTGTTCCTTAAGTGTAAAGCAGGCATCACTAACAGCTCAGAACAAGAGCTACATAATGGGAAAGGGGACTGTGGTGTGTCACAGGGCTGCCAGCTCTTCCTCCTGCACCTCGGGAGGGCCTTACTGCCTTAGGCTTCTTGGATTCTTGTCTTTCTCTTTATAACTGGCAAACAGCTTTCATTGGCACACTGAAGAGAACCAGGCAGGTTATTTTTGTAATTTCAGGGAAAGAGTTTAGCTTTGTGGTCTGATGCTGAATGGAAAGCCGTGTGGAGTTGGCTTCACTGGTAGGCTGAATCCTGAAATTCCATGTTTCCATGTGTTGAGCTACCTGAAGGCAGGAATGGCTGAGTCTGCTTCTCCATGTTGACAGAAATTGCAAGGGTTCTTTGAAGAAGTATGGAGCACAGGACTAGAATTTCAGATGAAGGATTATGTGAGGACCAATTTTTGCTTTTCCTGTCAGCCAAAATTTCAATATCAAGAGGATAACACCAGAAAGGTCTAAAAATTGGGGTCAGCAAGAACAATTCATTATATATAGGTTTGTGATATTTCTCTAACTTTTTTTTCATATTGGTACTAACATAATCTCAAGAAAAAAATAAAGTGTGTTTTAACTTGAAAAATAGTGTGTAGTCACCCACTGAGGATTCGAAGTTTTCTAAGCCCCTAACCTTCCTAAGGTCTTTCAGAGAACTCTGCTGAGTACTGTTTCACACTAATCACCATCCTGGGCTTCTACTGTGTCTTTTCAATGTGATGGGCTTTTTTTGGACACTATAGGCAGCACTGGATGATTCAGTTGTGCAAGTCACAACACTGATAATATAATTTTCTAAATATTTGTAGATATTCAAGGTAACCACACATTAATTCAAAGCTTTGTAAGTAGTATTAAAACTTAAATTGAAAGCCATCGGTAGTGGTACACACTTTTGATCCCAGCACTGGGGAGGCTACCTCACAGGGAGAGGTGAATCTCTGTGAGTTCAAAGTCAACCTGGTCTACCTACTAAGTTCAGGGCTAGCCAGAGCTAGACAGTAGGACCCTGTCTCAAAAGCAAACAAACAAAAAAACGTAAACAACAAAATGACCTTAAATTGATAGAAGAATCTATGAAATAAGAACACAAAGCCACTCATATGGACTTCAAACTCATCTTCATTTAGAAAAAATTATCAGTAAAGTCTTATTAATTGGAATTTTTCAAGCACTATTCAAGGTCACAGGCTGGACTATAGTGTTTAATGTTATATATGGCTGACAGTGTATAAAACATAGATGTTTATGAACTTCTACTTGTAGAGGAAGTCCTTTGCAAGTGCACAGAAGTGTCTCTCTGTATCAGTAAGACCGCCCTAGGTAAATCAACTTCAGCAAGCTCCTCTCCCATGGTTTATCCATTAATCTATTAAGATTGCATTTGCCTGCTGATCATGAGGCAGCAGTTTGCAAAGATCTTGGGTGGAACTACAGTTGTTCATAGGTGGATTAGATTCTTGGATCTGCCTGCTGCTCTATATCGCCATAAATGACAGTGGTAGGAAAGAATGCCTAGCAATTTCATTTTCAATGGATGAGCTCATGCATCAAAGACAACCCTCTAAGTCCTGAGGGTGAGACTGCATATCAGTTATCAGGCACTGAGATTAAACAACACTATTAAGACCCCACGATGGGGTTACACTAAAGGAGGGGGGGCAGCTGAATCTGGGATCTGTGCATATTGGTAGACAGCATTCTCCACCGAAAGTTTTGAGTTATGAGGGTGATCATTCATTGGGATCGCAGTCACGGATGGTCTGGAAACTTTTGCTTCTGTCACATCATAAATCTCAAAAGGGAGGGGAAGCAACCTTGAGAATTAAATTTGTCTTTTGTTGCTCGTTTATGTAAAAGATGTTGTCTTATTACACTCCTGACCTCGATGGATGTGAGGCTGTGGTTGGTAGTTGGCCATGTTCTGTGTTATAAATACTCTCTCCATGGCCATCTTGAGGCTGTAAATGAAGTGTGAGGAGACAGGAGCAGTATTACAATGCCACCTATGTACTTACAAAGCAATGGTATAGCGAGTACTATAGTGTTTGCATGTAGCTACAATAGACACGAATAACCTCATGACCACACAGATAACAGCAAAAGCACCCAGCAACTTATAAAGTGATACCTTTGAAATAGTTATTGTAATTTTTGCCACGATCTGCCTAAACATTACACTTATGGAACTTTTTAGTTTTTACTCATGGTCTCACGGTGGTAGCTCAGGCTGGCCTTCTTCTTGTGGTCCTTATGCATCTGTCTTCTGAGCACAGGATAACAGGGAATGTCACTATGCACAGCTACAAGTTCTTTGTGTTTATCACTGGGAATGGAACAAGGTCTCGCATGGGCTAGGCAAGTGCTCTCTGCCACTGAGCTACATCTGTAATCCTATACCTTTGTGTGTGTGTGTGTGTGTGTGTGTGTGTGTGTGTGTGTGTATTTGCGTGCATTTACGCATGTGTGTATGCATGTATGTGCATATCATCTGTGTGTATATGTGCATGTGTTGTTTGTGTGCTCGCATGAGTGCATGCATGTTTATATCTGTGTTCATGTTTGCATGTGTATGTGTGTACATATATTCGTGTGTAAGTTTTTAGGTAGTTCAAACTAGTACTGAACTTAAGTTGACCTTGAAACCCTGATCCTTTGCCTCTCCTCCCAGAATGCTGGGATTACAGGCATGTACCACCACACATGTCCAATTACTTAATTTACTAATGGTGTGTTCACTGTGTAGCTAAGAGCTTGTAGAATTTTTGAAAATGTACTAGTTTTGTATGCACATCAGTGTAGTCCCAGCACACCACTCTGCTTTTTATGCAATGCTTCTGAACGTAAACATCCAGCTGCTCAGTCACGTAAAGCCACTGTGAAGGAGGAAGCAGAACACTGAGGACTGAGATGACACAGATTGGAACACAATGAATAAGCTGAGAGTTGGTGAAGTGTTTTCTTTTCTGCTTCTTGGTTCTGTGTTCTCGTGGCTACGCTTATAAGCAACACCGGTTGCATCCGATGATAATTTCTTTGTATACCCTGCCATTGAGGGTTGGTAAGATCTGGTAGCTGGGGGTGCAAATTTATTCCTTGTGAAGGTTTGTGATGAGTTTTTAAAAACTTTCTTTTTCCAAGTGCCTCCTGTATGCCTTATTTATCAAAGACTTCACCGTGGGTCTTCTCAGTCAGCTCTCTCATTCTTGGCAGTGATTCTATGTTTAACACAATCTTTTTTCTTATATTAGCAAGACTGTGTAGAGAAAATAGCTATATGAGTTAGCACATGCTTGGTTGAATGTAACAGAAAGTTGTTAGGTAAACAATAATACATTTCTGAAAAAAATCAGAGGTGGCCTGTGAGGCCTTTATGAAGGCTTCTTCATAAACCCAGGACAGAATCCCTGCATTGACTCCCCTGCCTTTGTCCTATTCTACCTGGCATTATACCAAGGTCTGTTTTGTTCCAGGACATACTCTCCAGAGCTGAATTATCACAGTTAATTTGTCACACCATCTACGGCTTCTGTCTCAGTCAGTAAAAATAAGGATTTGTTTGCCTAACAGTCCAGCTTTTCTCTTTATGGATGTACCAAGACTTTCTAGTGGCAGACAGATTCTCTGAGTTATACAGAAATACATCCCTGATTCTAAAAAGCACAAGGAGGTGCTGGGCATGGTGACATACACCTACAGAGCTTAAAAAGACTGTCACAGGAGTGTCATGGGTTGGAGGCTAGCCTGGGCTAACAACTGTTCTGAAAGTAAGATCAAAACAAAAGAAGAAAGTAGAAGAAGTTCATCTCTCTTGACTTGTAAAAAAGCTCTTTAGTATTAGAAATGGAAAATAACAATATTTCGTCTTGAGTTTTTTGGTTGTTTTGAGACAGAATATTGTTATGTAACACAGGCTGACATTGAACTCACTATGTAATTCAAGATGGCCATGAACTCACCATTGTGCGTCTACTTCTAGCTTCTGGGATTACAGGCATGCACCGACACGCTCACATAAAATTAACACTCATTACTAAATTTTCCCTATAATTATATAATTGGTGCCTACAACATTAAAACAAAAGAAAATTTAAAAAAGAATTATGATTCTTAGGGATACAATGGAAGTACTAATAATTATACATTGATTTTAGTTCAGGGCTTCACAGAATGCCGTTTGAGCGGGTTGGGAAAGAGATCCACTCCTGCCCCATTTATGTAGATTGCTTGGTGCCGGTTACAGAAAGAATGGTGTTTAACCAAGACTAGGTGGTGGAGTTAGAGAGAGCATGCACTTCAATAATAGGCAAACCTCAAGCTGATAAATAGAATGTGGGGAGAAAAGCAAAGCGTATTCATGTAAATATGAAGCCGTTCTGTTTGAAAAGTCAATAATTGGAAAGCCTAAATTGTACTAAGAGTACAGCAGCTAACTTTTATTAATTCTTTCTATGTGCCTGATAGCATGCTGAATAGTTTATATGAAATACTTTACTTAATTAAACACAATTTTATCTTATTTAATAACGACTCTTTGCAGTAGTTCCTCTCATTATTATTAGCTGAACATTAGAGATGAGGACATGGGCATTTAGACAAAACTTGCATACTTTGTGATGACGCAGGACCAAAATGGCGAGTCCAGGATGACCCCCAGGGCCAGCTGACTGAAGCACATGCCCATCACTTACTACAACGGAGGACTGGAGACAAACAATAGAACTTAAAGTGTGTGAAAATGCTTTCTTTCGGGTTTTCATGGATGTAAATATTGTCTTACAGATGTAGATGGCATGGACCTGGGCAAAAAAGTTAGCATCCCCAGAGACATTATGATAGAAGAATTGTCCCATTTCAGCAATCGTGGTGCCAGGCTGTTTAAGATGCGTCAAAGAAGATCGGACAAATACACCTTTGAAAATTTCCAGTATGAAACTAAAGCGCAGATAAATGTAGGTACAGCCAGACCGTGAGTACGTAAATGAATCAACAGCATACCTAAGTCGGTATGTGTTAACACACTCCCAAACAAGTCGCTCTACATATTTTCTTTCAGTTGATTCTACTAGACTTTTTTTTTTTCCATTCAGGACGGTGAATAGCTTAGTTATCTAAGTAAAGGAAGCATTATGAGTGTGAGAGAATGCTTTTTGTTCACGAGGCCGCTGTGAGCCAGAGACTTGGCACTGAGGAAGTGGCCTGCTCCTCTAGGAGTGGAGGGTGAGTGGGGAGAAGTGGTGCCAGTTGTTCCCCAGTGTTATCCCCTACCGTTAAACGTTTGTGGAGGAAACACTCCCAGAGCACACAGAGGTCCGCAAAGGAAGGAGACGGGTTGTGTTTGCTGAGTACATCCTGACCCTGCAAACGCAGAGAACAGCAAACTCCAACATTCTCGTCTCAAAGAATCTCTTCGACATGGGGGTGACAAAAGCAGCATGCACCTAACTTGTTGGGTCTATAAACGTCAAAACCGATGTAGTGGTACACACGTGTAATCCCAGCACTCTGAAGGCAGAGGTAGAAAGATCAATCACAAATTCAAGGCCAGCCTGGGCAACGCGGTGAGTTCCAAGCCAGCCAAGACTACATAATGATACCTTGTCTCAAACGAACAAAAATTAGATTTTACATGTGTTAGCATCATGTTCATTTAAATGGGCACTAAGAGAAATTGTAGAGAAGTTCATTCATTAATGACAGATAACCAGTTAAGGTAAATGAGTTTCTTTATTTTTATTAGTTATTTCCTCATTATAATTCCTAAAACTTTAATGAAAAAGAATTAGGATAAAAGAGTCTTACTATGAAGCCATGGTTGTCCTGAAACTCTCTGTGTAGACCAAGCTGACCTTGAACTCACTCTGCCTACTTCTACCCAAGGACTGGCATTAAAAGCCTGTGCCACCATGCCAAGCTTAAATTAAGATTTTGAGATCTGCGGATTTAGTGCACTGGTTGAATCCTTGCCTGACTTGGTCTAGGTCCTGTGTTCAATCCTTAGACTACAATCAATCAATCAATAACCATGGCTTACTTCTAGTTTTGTTTTATTTATTATTTATTTTTATTTTTTATTTATTACAGTTTATTCACTTTGTATCCCAGCTGTAGCCTCCCCCTTACTTCTAGTTTTAATTGTGAATTCAGTTAGACATAAAATTACACACAACTACAGTACTTTCATTTGTGAGGGATAGTTTTTTTTCACTTGAAGGCATAGGTAAATACATGTTATTTTAGCCTGTTATTACATACAATGCACTCTTCTCAGAAAATATCTGTGGCTAGTACAGCATGAGCTGAAACCCATGTGCACTTTTCCTGATGGTCTATTACATAATTACATTCACCAAGGAGTAACAACAAAGGAGGCATTCAATGAAGTAATATGAAATAGGTGGATTAAGGAAAGCCTTGCAAAATCACCTGCAAGTTCAGACATCTCAGGAAATGAATTATGCCTGACTCCCATTTCCACTGAGAACACTAACAGTATAACCATAGCCCTGAAGAAGGCATATGGATCTCAAGCTTCCTAATGCTGCAACCCTTTAATATAGTTCCCCATGTTGTGGTGATCCCCAACCATAAAATTATTTTCGTTGCTACTTCATAACTATAACTTTGCTACTGTTATGAATTGTAATGTAAATATCAGATATGCAGTACAGTCTTAGGTGACCCTTGTGAAAAGATCATTAGATCCAAAGGGTTCACAACTCACGGGTTGAGAACCAGTGGTCTATGGGATTAAAACTGTCCTCATAAACATAACATATCCTCTCATAGACTTACATCTCTGTTTTCAGTCATAATAAATATATGGAGATATGACTTGAGAATTTTATAGCATTCCAAGAAAATTGGGCATTAAGTGATTAATAGAATCCCAAACAGCCATATCAAAACAATTTAATGATGATAAATAACTCAGCAGTACATACCAATGAAGATTATCAAGGTAGTAATTACTTTCTCTTTAAACATTACATGCTTTTATCATTTCTAGACAAAACAAAAACAAAAACATTTATTTGCCTTTGAATTTCCAACATAGTGTCTACAACATAACAGGCACTCAGTAAATATTTTACAAAGGCATAAATTAATTGACAGGAATAGGCATTCTTTAAAATATTCCTGTCATGTTAACAATGTTCTAATCACAGTGGCTGTGTCATCATTCCTTTGACAAAGTGAGTATGGCTCATATATGCTGTCTTCCTCATATTTCTGAGACATAGTTTAGAATTAAAAGCATAACAAAAATAGGTTACACAATCATATGACACCTTAGAGAGGATCTTAATTACCATATTTTACAGAAAAGAAAAGAAATTAGAAAAGGGAAAGAAACTTGTAAATTAACTAATCACGTTGCTAGAGAGGAAGTCAAGACCAAACCCTTAGAGTGTGGTTCCCAGGCCAGAGTTTCCTTTAGCGCATCATGAGCCTAGCCTAATTCTTGATCAGATTTTCTGGAGAAAATCCTATTTTCCTCATCCATTGAGCTATAGAACACTTAATTACTTATTTGTGCAGTTCCTATTTTATTATAATGCTTTGCATCTCGTACGGATGATAACGTCAGTCAAATCCCCAATAATCAATTCCATTGTCTCAACTATTAAGTATAATTATTTTCTCTTTCTTTCTTTCTTTCTTTCTTTCTTTCTTTCTTTCTTTCTTTCT